CATCCTGGTCACCAAGGGTGTCATCCCACCCTGGTCACCACAGATCCATCCCACCCTGGTCACCACGGGTGTCACCCCAGCCCTGGTCACCAAGAGTGTTATCCCATCCTGGTCACCACGGCTGCCATCCCACCCTGGGCACCACCACGGGTGTCCCCCAGCCCTGGCTGCCCACCGTGCCCCCCCAGCAGAGCATCCTGCCCCAGTTTTGGCAGCAGCAGCCCCTCCTCCCCTGCAGCATTTCGACACTCCAGGGCGTTTCCTGCCTCAGAGCTGCGTTTTCAGCCCCAGCCATCCCAGCTCGGGGCATGCCAGGGGCTGCCTGGTGCTCTGGCCCCTCGCAGAGCCTCGCCAGCCTGGCTGGGCACGCTGCCCTTGGGTGCAAAGCTCCCATCCCAAACCCACCCCGGAGCAGCAGCTCCCTCCTGCCTCACTGCAAGGTCTCTCCCTCTCCTCAGCCAAGGACAGAGCTGCAGGGATTTGGCCTGGGCTCAGCTCCCCGGGGAGCAGCCAGAGCTCCAGCTGGGTGTGACAGTCTCCCTGGCACGGGAGCCAAGGCCAGGCTGGGAATGGAGAGGAGCACCGGGTCCCAGGGAGACGGCACAGCCCCATTCCACTGCTAACCATCTCCTGATCTTCATCAGAGGAGGGGGAGACACCACAGGCACAGCGAGGGCTGACAGGGTCCAGAGGGCTGCAGGAGGAGATGGCAGCGGGTCCATGCCAGGGGCAACACCAGGACAGTGCCAGGGAAGCGTCAGCCACAGCCAGGAGGGGACAGGATGGGTCCCACAAGCGAGGGCAAGGGACAAGTGCCTGGGGTGGGGGTCCTGGCAGGGATCTGGGGCCATCCTTGGCTCTGAGGGAGCTTCTCAGCCCTGCAGCACACTGAGCAGACGGGCAGCACCCCTCACCGGGCAGGATGGGCCCCTCTGGAGAGCCCCTGGCTCAGCCCCTTCCTCCTGCCAGCCTCCTGCCTGCGCTGGGGCTCACACCTCCTTCTCTGCTCCCTCTGCCCCCACGGCACTCCCCCAGCCCCAGGATTCCCTGTCCCTTCCCCCGAGGAGCTCCTCCATCCCCACGTGGAGCAGAACGCCCCGGTGGCCTCCAGGACCTGGGCTGGCACAGAGGAAAGGCCCTGTGCTGGTGGGAGGAGAGCCCCAGGCCCTGGCAGCCCCCAGAGCCCCCCAGCAGCAGTGCCCCCACAGCTGGGCAGGAAGGGGAACCAGAAAAGAGAAGTGCAGCACGGAAGGGCTTTGGGGAAGTCAGAGCTGAGCTAATTCTGCAGAGGGAACAACTCCCCCAGACGAGTTCCCTGTCGGGAGCAAGTGCAAGTCACTGCAGGAAAAGCAGAGCCAGGAATGCTGACTGCTGCTGCACCCACTGCCCCTCAGACACAGATCCCAGCGCTGGGCTCTGAGCCCTGGCAGCCCAACCTTCCCCAGCGCCAGGGCTGGGGGATCTGTGGGACAGCAGACACACGGAAATGGCTCTGCAGAGAGGGAGGGAGCAGGGAAAGGCAGCTAAGGGCCAGCTTCACCAGCCCAGGAAACCCTGGGGCTCAGCTGCTTCCTCCAGCATCAGCCTCAGCCCCACCCTGCCAGTCCAGAGGATTTTGGGGTCCCAGGCAGGGAGATCCAAGGCCCAGCCCTGCTGGTGTCCCCAGGCACCTGCTGTCCCCCCAGTGTCCCCTCCCTTGCTGCTCACCCAAGGGGTGCCACACCTGGGCAAGGGAAGGGTCTCCTCTGGAGAGGGGCTGGGGACAGGGACAGAGGGACAGGACACAGGGAATGGCTGCCACTGGCCAAGGGGAGATTGGGCTGGGATCTGGGCAAGGAATTGCTGGCTGGGAGGGTGGGCAGGGGCTGGGCTGGAATTGCCAGAGCAGCTGTGGCTGCCCCTGGATCCCTGGCAGTGCCCAAGATTGGACACTGGGGCTGGAGCAGCCTGGGACAGTGGGAGGTGTCCCTGCCATGGCAGGGGTGGCACTGGGTGACTCTTACAGCCCCTTCCAACCCAAACCACTCTGGGGTTCTCTGATTCCATGCACACCCAGCTGGTGTCTGGGATGGAGCCCTGTTTCTCTGGATGCCCTCCCAGCTTTCCCAGGTGCCAGCTGATGGTTTGGGTGTGCAGGGCACAGCCCCTGGCTCACTGCCACCCACAGGATGAGCCCCACAGGGGACACCAAGGGCATCTCCTGGATGTTGGGGAGCAGAAGTAACAGCTGCCTTGTGAATTCCCAAAAATCCCTCTTTTCCTGGGCCCTGGCTTTGCAGGGACTGAGCACAGGACAGGGCAGTGCAGCATCAGGCAGGAGGGAGGTGAGGAGCAGCAGATCCTGCCCAGGGCTCTCTGGATGCACAAAGGCTCAGGGCAAAGGGGGAAATGATGCTGATCCTGCTTTGCTGCCAAGCCAGACCCCCAGAGCTGCCTGAGCAGTGGGACAAACCCCGGGATGTCCAAAAGGCCATGAGAGCTCTCAGGCTGCTCTTGTGCAACTCCAGGAGATGATTTTCCCTGGCAAAGCAGCGAGATGACCCGGGCTGAGCAGCACGAGGAGCTCATAAACAGCCCCAGCCTCCCCTCCCGGGGAAGAGTCCAAGCCTGACGGAACATTTTCCAGCCAGCCGAAAACAAGGATAACAATTATCACTGCTCGAGTTCCTGTGCAGTAAAACCTGCAGGGAAATGAGAGCAAGGTCAGCACAGAGACAGGGGATGCTGTGCTGGAGCCGGCTCCCCTGGCCGGGCAGCAGGGCGAGGATGGCATGCCAGGGCAGGGCAGAGCTCAGCCCCACAGCCCGTTATCTCCCCAGCACAGGCCTGCCTGGGCCCAGCAGGCTGGGAGACGCTGTTTGTTTTGCTCTTTCTAATCTGGGACTGAAGTTTCCTCCTGAACAAAGTTGTTTCCAGACGCCGGAGCCGGCTGGAAGCTCCCAAAGAGGCAGAACAACCCCCTGAGCTCCCCACGATCCTTCTCCCACTGGCTGGACAAGCTCCAGCCCCCGGGATTCTCCTCCAAAAACCAGCGTGGCCCCTCCAGGCTGCGGAGGTGCCACCCACCCCCGGGGCACAGGGTGAGAGAGAGCTTCCCTCATGTTTTCCGTGCTCATTTCCATCCTCGGGGCCAGGGGTGAAAACAGAGCCTTAAAAACTCCTGTGATCCTGACTGCCTCAAGGGGAAGTGAATTTTCCTTATGCAAGCAAAGCTGCAGGAAGGGAGGGAGGGAGACAGCAAATGGGAGAATCAGGGAATGGGCTGGGCTGGAAGGGAACAAAAAGCTCATCCCATTCCATCCCTTCCCCTGCCCCAGGTGGATCCAGCCCCAGTGCCCAACCTGGCCTTGGGCACTGCCAGGGATCCAGGGGCAGCCACAGCTGCTCTGGGAATCCCAGCCCAGCCCCTGCCCACCCTCCCAGCCAGCAATTCCTTGCCCAGATCCCAGCCCAATCTCCCCTTGGCCAGTGGCAGCCATTCCCTGTGTCCTGTCCCTCTGTCCCTTGTCCCCAGCCCCTCTGCAGCTCTCCTGGAGCCCCTGCAGGCCCTGGCAGGTGCTGGAAGGTCTCCCTGCAGCCTTCTCCAAGGCCCTGGGCATGTCCAGCCTCGCAGCCCGCCTGCCCCCTTGGCTGCAGGATTGGTGTCACGGGGTGACACAGGCTGGACATTGCTCCCGTGGGATTAACAGCCCCTGACGAGACCTTTGGGATGCCAAGAGCAAGGAGCCGGGCTGTCCCACACCCCCCGTGTCTGTCCCAGCCCTGCAGTGGTGCTGGTTTCCATCAGGGCCCAGGAATCCCGGTGTTTTGCTAAGAAGAGCAGGATGAAGGCGGGAGGAGCTGCCGGCCGGCTCCAGGCTCTGCTCGGAGCTGTGTTTCCCCTCGGGGAAGCTCTCCCAGCCCGTTCTGCCCCCATCCCGGGTGGGATGGCGAGGCAGGCTCTGCTCGGAGCTGTGTTTCCCCTCGGGGAAGCTCTCCCAGCCCGTTCTGCCCCCATCCCGGGTGGCAGGGCGAGGCAGGCCGCTCTCCAAGGCCGCAGCTCCGGGCAGCAAGCCAGCACAACCGCCGGGACTGGGGGGCACTGCCAGCTCTGCCCGCACCAAAGCCCCCAAAACTCCTTCCCAAAGGAATTCCAGCCGCATTCCTGCGCTGCTGTGCCTGGCCAGGGCTCGGAACACTCTGATTGTTGTAAGCCCTTCTGGGGAGGGAGGAGCAGCAGCTCCCCCCACGCACGGGATGAGTGCTGGGGGCTGGACCCCAAACTGGGGACACTCTCAAGCCAGGTGACAACGGGGGGGCTGCACAGGCAGCGCAGCCACCAGGGGACACCGGGCTGGTGCACATCCCCCGGTCCTGCCCCGGGACCCCTCCCCAGGGCACCCCGAGACCCCCGGAGAGCCCAGGCGGGCACGCCCGGACCTGCGGCACGCCCCGAGGGTGCCCCTGGAAGCCGTGATGCCCCTTCCTCCTCCAGCAGCCAGCCTGGGGACCCAGGGACCCTGTGGTGCCCACCCTGGGCACAGTGACCAGTGACAGCCATGCCAGGGCTCTGGGGGATTCCATGTGCCCACCCTGGGCACAGTGACAGCCATGCCAGGGCTCTGGGGGTGTCTATGTGCCCACTCTGGGACACACAGTGACCCAGTGACAGCTGTGCCAGGGCTCTGGGGGTCCATGTACCCACCCTGCCCACCCAATGACAGCCATGCCAGGGCACTGGGGGTCCATGTACCACCCTGCCCACCCAGTGACAGCCATGCCAGGGCACTGGGGGTGTCCATGTGCCCACCCTAGGATACACAGTGACCCAGTGACAGCCATGCCAGGGCACTGGGGGGTCCATGTGCCCACCCTGCGGCACCAGGGATACCAGGGACACTGTGACACCGCTCTGGGACACTCGAGGACCCCAGGACACCAGTCCCAGGGCACGGGGGGGTCCATGTGCCCACCCCGGGACCCCGTGCCCCCCAGCCCGGCCCGGCCCGGCCCGCACTCACCGCTGGTCGGGCTCGCGGCCGCGCAGGCGGGCGGGCTCCAGCGGCACCAGGGCCTGGCCCAGGAAGCGGTCCATGCCCACGAGCGCCCGGTGCATCACGGTGAGCAGCAGCTGGGCGCAGGCCCCGGGCTCGGCGGGCAGCTCGAAGGCGCACTCCTCCCGCCACTCGGGGCTGCCGCCGCTCTTCTCGGCCACCGACGTGCTGTACTTCTCGCGGCCCAGCTGGATCACGGTGTACGCGTCGCTGCCGCCCGCTTTGCCTTTGCCGCCGCCCTTGCAGCGCAGCCCGCGGGCCCGCACCACCGTCACCTGGACGTGCGTGGGCAGCCAGGCCGGGCCGCCCTCGGCGGGCAGCGCGGCCGCCCGCAGCAGCGGACCCCCTACTGTCACCCTCTGCAGTGACCCCCTGCTGTCACACCCAGTGTCACACCCTGCGGTCACACCCTGCTGTCACACCCTGCAGTGACACCCCTACTGTCACACCCAGTGTCACACCCTACAGTGACACCCCTGCTGTCACACCCTACAGTGACACCCTACAGTGCCACCCTGCAGTGACACCCTGCAGTGACACCCTGCTGTCACACCCTGCGGTCACACCCTGCAGTGACACCCTACTGTCACACTCTGCAGTGACACCCTGCTGTCACACCCTGCTGTCACACCCTGCGGTCACACCCTGCTGTCACACCCGTGACACACACACACAGCCACGGCCCGGGGCACCCCCGGCTCCGCATCCCCGGTGTGCCTCTGCCTGTCTGTCCCCCAGACCCACACGAGTGCCAGCACAGGTGTGTCATGTTCAGGCGTGTCCATGTTCAGGCGTGTCCCTGCTCAGGCATGTCCCTGCTCACATGTGTCCCTGCTCAGGCGTGTCCCTGTTCAGGCGTGTCCCTGCTCAGGCGTGTCCCTGCTCAGGTGTGCCATGTACATACAAGCACACAGGAGTGTCCGTGTCCAGCTGTGCCCGTTCCCAGCTGTGCCCGTGTCCAGCTGTGCCCGTGTCCAGCTGTGCCCGTGTCCAGCTGTGCCCTGCCCACCCCACTCGTGTGTCCCCCCCGCTGCCGGAGCCCCCCGGCCGTTCTGCCGTGTCCAGGCGCACCGGGGGCAGCTCCCGGGTGTCCCCGGCTCATCCCCGCTGTCCCCACGGCCGGTCCCCGGTGTCCCCACGGCCGATCCCCGCTGTCCCCATGGCCGATCCCCGGTGTCCCCACGGCCGGTCCCCGGTGTCCCCACGGCCGATCCCCGCTGTCCCCGAGCCCCGCTCACCCTTCCCCGCCGCCCACCCCTCCCTGTCCCCACGGCCGATCCCCGCTGTCCCCGAGCCCCGCTCACCCTTCCCCGCCGCCCACCCCTCCCCGGCGGGAGCGTTTCCCAGGCCGGGCCGGGGCCCCAGTGCCAATGTCCCCTCCCAGTGTCCCCAGTGTCCCCAGTGTCCCGTTACAGCCCGCAGCTCCGGCCCCGCCGCCGTTCCGTGCCCGGGGCAAGGTCGGGCCCGCGATCCCGCCGCGATAAGGGGCGGCGGGGCCGTGCCAGCCCTGCCCTATCGCCGCCATCTGCCACCGCCGCCACCGCTGCCACCGCCCCCGGCGCGCCCGTTCCGCCCCAGCGCGGGGACACCGAGGGGGGACACCGAGAGGGGAGGGGGACACCGAGGGGGGACACGAACGAGGACACCGAGGGGGGACACAGAGAGAGGACACTGAGAGGGGAGGGGAGACACAAAGGGGACACCGAGAGGGGACACGAGCAGAGACACCAAGGGGGGACACGAGCGGGGGACATTGAGAGGGGACACTGAAAGGGACATTGAGAGGGGACACCAAGGGGGAGGGGGACACCGAGAGGGGACCGAGGACACCGAGGGGGGACACAGAGAGAGGACACTGAGAGGGGAGGGGAGACACAAAGGGGACACCGAGAGGGGACACGAGCAGAGACACCAAGGGGGGACACGAGCGGGGGACATTGAGAGGGGACACTGAAAGGGACATTGAGAGGGGACACTGAGAGGGGACACCAAGAGGGGAGGGGGACACCGAGAGGGGATCCGAGCGGGGGACACTGAGCAGGGACACCGAGAGGGGACACCGAGAGGGACATTGAGAAGGGACACTGAGAGGGGACACAAAGCACTCTTGAGGTCCCTTCCAGCCCCATCACCCCACGGCCCCGTGTCCCTCCCCTTCCCCTGTGGTTCCTGCTGGCCCCACACGCACCTCAGGGGGCTGAAGCTGCCGAGTGCAGGAGGAGCCCATTCCACATTTCCCATTTCCCATTTCCCATTTCCCATTTCCCATTTCCCATTCCACATTCCCCATTTCCCATTTCCCATTTCCATTCTACATTTCCCGTTTCCCATTTCACATTTCCCATTTCCCATTTCCCATTTCACCTTTCCCATTTCCCATTTCCCATTCCACATTCCCATTTCCCATTTCCCATTTCCCATTTCCCATTCCACATTTCCCATTTCCCATTTCCCTTCTCCCATCCCACATTTCCCATTTCCCATTTCCCATTCCACATTTCACCTTTCCCATTTCACATTCCACCTTTCCCATTTCCCATTTCCCATTTCCCATTTCCCATTTCCCATTTCCCATTTCCCATTTCCCATTCCACCTTTCACATTTCCCATTTCCCATTTCCCATTCCCCATTTCCCATTTCCCATCCCACATTTCCCATTTCACATTTCACATTTCACATTTCCCGTTTCCCATTTCCCATTTCCCATTTCCCATTTCCCATCCCACATTTCCCATTTCCCATTCCACCTTTCACATTTCCCGTTTCCCATTTCCCATTTCCCATTTCCCATTTCCCTTTTCCCATCCCACATTTCCCATTCCACATTTCACCTTTCCCATTTCACACTTCACATTTCACCCCAAAAAGCCCCCGAGCATGCCCATGAGCTGCAGCAAATCCCATATTTTCCCCTTGGGGTGCTCTGCCCCAGCCGTATTCAAATCCCCCATTAAAATATCCTTCACAGGGAATAAAACCCTACCTGGGAATTCCTTATCAGCCCCCGATGAACTCAAATCCAATTATCCTGCAGTCCAGGGCCTGCTCCACCACTGCCCTTATCCCTGCTCAGCATCTGCTTCTGATTTTCCCTTCTTTTGATTGTTTTTCCCGTTTTTTATGCCCTGATTATCTCCTCTCCCAGCACATCTCCTCCTCTCCGCCACTTCCCATCTTTTACCCCCATAATTGGGATTTTTCTCCATCTCCCTTCACCTTCCCTGCCCTGCTCCTGTTTATTTATCTCGTATTTATTCCTCTCTTTGATTTCACACTCACCTTTGCATTTGATGCATAAGGAGGGTTTTTAATTACCCTAAATCAATTACTGTATTTTTTATTCCACTCTGGAATCAAAGGGAGCACAGGGATCCTTTGCAGCATCCTCAGCGAGCCTGGGCTGAGTGACATTTTCCTTTAATTCTTGCTCCAGCTTTAATTTTTTTGCTTTAAATATTCCTTCACATTTAATTTTTGTTTCAACATGAATTTTTGCTTTGGCTTTAATTTCTGCTGTAATTTCATATTTTTTCCCATCAATTTAAATTTAATTTTTTCCTTTAATTTCTCCTTCAACTTTAACTGTTCCTTCAATTTTTGAATAATTTATTTTCCTTTCATTTCTCCATCAACTTTAACTTTTCCTTCAATTTTTGATTAACTTAATTTTTTCTTCCTTTTCCTGCATGGAATCTCCCTGCCCCAGCCCACCCTGAAGCCCTGGGTGTGGGCTCCCAACAAACCCAGCTCCCATCCCGGGAGAAGCTGGAAAACCCCAATACGATCACTTTTTTTCTCTTTTTCCATATTTTGTTCTGAAATCCCTCTCTCCATCGCCATGGGAGCAGCAGCTGCTCCCCCCAGGAGCTGCCCGGCCTGGAGCTGCCCCTCCCTGGGCAGAGAAATGGGATTTTCATGGGAGAGCAGGAAAGCGCTGCAGGAACAGCGGGACGCCCCTCCCTCGGGAGGCTGCACCTCCCAGGATCCCTCAGAGGATCCCCCAACCCCTCTGAGGCTCAGGATGGCGGAGAAGGCAAATCCCAAATCCCAGCCCAAGAAAGGGCAATCGAACACCCAGAGAAGGGGCCAGGTGAGGGAGGGGACAGGAGGGGACACAGGGAGGGATGGGATGGGATAATGAGATGGGATAATGGGATGGGATAATGGGATAATGGGATGGGATGGGATGGGATGGGATGGGATGGGATGGGATGGGATGGGATGGGATGGGATGGGATGGGATGGGATGGGATGGGATGGGATGGGATGGGATGGGATGGGATGGGATGGGATGGGATTGGGATTGGGATTGGATTGGGATTGGGATTGGGATTGGGATTGCCAAACCAGGCTTTTCTTGGGAAGGCTGGGATCACATTCCTGGGGCTGGGATCCCATTCCCAGGGCTGAGATCCCATTCCCAGGGCTGGGATCCCATTCCCAGGGCTCGTTGGTTCTCTCGATCCATTTTGTGGTGGAGCTGAGAGCCGGGGTGGGAGCGACAGCAGCGCCAGCCCTGCAGGGAAGGGAAGGGGTGAAGGGGGAGGCAGAGCTGGGAATGCAGCACCTCGAGGGTGGGAGAGGCTGGAAATGACCCAAAAATCCCCCCAGCCCGGGCTGGTGCCAGCAGGAAGGTGGGAATGGTGTCCCTGTGGCCCCGAGGTGAGAGCCCAGCTGCAGAGCTGCCCCAGCCCTGGGGCCAACAGCAGGAGGACGTGGAGCTGCTGCAGAGAGCCCAGAGGAGGCCCCGGAGCTGCTGCAGGGCTGGAGCCCCTCTGCTCTGGAGCCAGCCTGCAGAGCTGGGAATGTTCCCTGGAGAAGGGAAGGCTCCAGGCAGAGCTCAGAGCCCCTGGCAGGGCCTGCAGGGGCTCCAGGAGAGCTGCAGAGGGGCTGGGGACAAGGGACAGAGGGACAGGACACAGGGAATGGCTGCCACTGGCCAAGGGGAGATTGGGCTGGGATCTGGGCAAGGAATTGCTGGCTGGGAGGGTGGGCAGGGGCTGGGCTGGAATTCCCAGAGAATCCCTGGATCCCTGGCAGTGCCCAAGGCCAGGCTGGATCCACCTGGGGCAGTGGGAGGTGGATCTGGGATGGAACTGGGTGAGCTTTTTGTTCCCTTCCAACTCAGACCATTCCACAGTGTCCATGGCATCCCTTCCCGAGGATGCACACCCCTGCAAACATTCCCAAACCACCAGAACACCCCCAAACCCGCACCCCGGGACTGACAGCAGCACCCGAGGCTCCCCCAGCCCCAATTCCTGGGAATGCCAGCAGCAGAACTCGTGCCAGTGCGTTGGGAAAGGCTGGCAGGGCACAGTCCCAGCTGGCAGCGCGGGGATGCCCGGGAAGGGAAGGAGGCAGTGGCATGGGGCTGTGGGGGAAGGGGCCTGAGCCAAGACAAATAAAGAGTTCAAATGGGAAACGATTAAAACTAAACTAAAGTCAAATAAATGGAAAGCGGGGGAGATAAGGCGCGGGCGCCCTCGCTGCCTATTTAACATTCATTGGATTGAATAATCAGGCCTCATTATCTCAAATTGCTGCATATTTGCCCTCAAAATGCTAATTTGAAAGTTGGCTGCGAGCGCCGTCTGCCTATTTTGACTAAAATATGATTTTGCTTTATTGTGCGGCGCTCGTAGCTCCGGGGGCATTTCCCCCACCAGGAATGGGCGAGGAAGGGGAGGACAAATCACCCAGCACTTATCAAAGGCCGGCCGGGGAGGGGAGCGGGCCCTGCTTTGCGTAGAAATGGCATTTCCAGGCCTCGCAGTGAAATTAAAGCGTTATCAGGCGCTTTTCGGGATGGACGCTTTATCGCTCATCTCGGGAAGGGAAATGGGAGAAATAATTTGCTTTTATTCTGATTGTTTGGCGGAGGGGGAGGGCCGGGGGCTCCTCCCTGCCCTCTCCCTTCTCCTTGCCCCCCCGTCCCCTCCACCTGCCCTCGCAGGGGGCAAAATCCCCGCTCTGGGCCTCACCCAGCGGGTCCCACATGGAAAATCTGCTCCGTCTGAGCGGGGCCGCGCTCGGAGCATCCACCCCGGCCGCTGCTGCCCTTCCTCGGAGTCAGTGGGTGGGCTGGGGTGGGCAGAGCGGCCCCCGCTCCGGGGGGCTTGGGGTGAGCGCTCAGTCCCCGGCAGCGCCCCAAGGACGC